CGAACCTCGGACCACTGGGTCCAAAGCACACCAGTGACAGTGACTGAACCACTGCGCCACCACCACCCGGGGTTTGGTGATTTATCAGAATGTCTGACTGACAAAGTATTGAAAATCGGTTCTTCTCCACCGATCAAATTTTGTCCCTTGCTCTCATTGTGTTCGACTGGGTCCGCAGTTAAACTGGTGAGTGGGGGTGAGATTAGTAGGTGAGGTGTTTGTCCATCTGTCCTGACAAGATTGGTCGGTGGAGAAGAACACATATATAAACGAACGGATACAAGCAGAAGACTGCCACTTCACAAGCACTGATGGCAACCCGGATGGTGATGAAACGTTTGCAAACCAATTGCCAAGCTCGGCGAAGAGTGTCTGACTAACGGGCATGCGAGGTAAGATCAATGACATCAAGAGGTGATGAGGTGAGGGAGACGGATAATTGCACAGCTTACCACCAGGAGATACGGTTCGGAAACGTAACCGTTGCAGCGCCTCGTCTGCATCGTAGTTGCATCGCATAAGCATAAACAGAGCCTGAGATGAGCGAGTACCGCCGATCCGGAAAAAAGGAGAAAACAAAGAGAGCGGAATAAAAACAGCAATCAGATTGTTTACCACATTTAAGTGTGAGATGTACAAGAGCACAAGAGCCTACAAACTTGTAGACTAACGAAACCGACTGAACCATCGCAGTCATTCCGACAGACAAGAGTGTGCACTGTGTGCGACGAATCATGAGAAAAAATATATAAACCGAAATACAAGACTATCAATGTTCCCAAGGGTCAGATACGGCAAGACGAACTTCACTAATCCTTCCCAAGTGCAGTGAACTAACCTGTTGTCTGAAGTATTCATCAAATCATTTTGAACGGATACATCTGGGGATCGCAGCTACTGAACAGGAGGAGTTAAATTCTCGATCTACGTCATTAGATCGAACAACCGCTAGAGCACTTACACGGAGCAGGGAGATACTATGCACACACTTCAGGTCGACAATGTTACTCTTTGGGAAGTTATCTAGTACCGAGAGTAAGGCCAGAAGTGCTCGGTAGTATGAGAAAGTCGAAAAGGAACAGGGATGTAGAGTAGCTCTATTGAACCCCATTGGAGATAAAAACATAGAGGCGGAATGAGCATCTTCATCCCTAACCAGACCTCATGTGTGATAGGTAGACAGACAGCTCCGCAAATGGAAAACATCCCCCGGGGGTTATTGTTTTTAAACAGACAATTCAGTAACACGTAGCTATCTGCAGAGTAATGATCAAGTAGCTGATGAAGGTTAAAGATTGGATCGATGAGACATCTGTGAACGAAACTGAATCTAACCATTATCAAGTAATGGTACCGTTGAGCGAGAGGTCACGCTTCGCAGTCCGTTGAAAATGGTAGCGATGCAGTCGCAGTCGATGCAGGTCACAATGATCGCGTTAGGTTTCTTAGTCGGGGACCTCATGACTAATCAAATAACTAATTAGAGATACTAGACGATATGGTTGTGTCGTGAACAGTGATGTTTCGGCACGCACGCACTCACTCACTTTCTACGCACAATTAACTTCACCTTGGTACCCTTTTACTTTTCTCTACTGATCTCAACCAGAAGAACAGTAACCTAAATCGGTGCACGAAATTGTAAATGAATGGTAGTATTTCGGCAAAACAGCCTCATCTCTAAGTAAGCTAGATAAATCGAACAATAATAGGCAACGAGAATAACCCGAAATTTCCATCATAAGCGTCAGAGGGAAGAAAAAACCGCACTCATAAACTTGACAATTACAAGGGCCTATTTTATTAGTTTTTAGTACACACGCTTGTGCGGGGAGAACAGTGACCCATGTAAACCTCAGTTCAGTTCAGTTCTTAAAACCATGCACTTTCGTGCGCCGGTTTTGGTTGCTATCTTTTGGTGGCCCATTTGGATAAAATAGCAGAATGATGACTAGAATGTCGAGAGCAAATTTAAGCGAAAGGTAGCACATTTTC